GAAAGAAGGGCAAAGGGATCCTGGAACAAAGGGATCTAGGGACACTTTGGAGGCTAGCTGAAAGAGAGAAGAAGTTGGGAGCATGAGCTGGAGCTAAGGGATCGTGGAGCATCTTTGGGATTAACTGGAAGGAAGGGAGCGGGAGCAGGAGATCAGTCTCTAAGGGATCTGGGTGCACCTTTGCTCATGCAAAAGGATCTTGGAGCTGAGAGAAGTTGGGAGCATGAGATCAATCGATGGGATCTTGTAGTACTCATGCAAAGGGATCTTGGAGCACCTTTGGGACTAACTGAAAGAAAGCAGTTGGGAAAGGGATCTTGTAACACCTTTGCTTATGCAAAGGGATCTTGTAGCACCCTGGAGACTAACTGAAAGAAAGAAGTTGGGAGCCTACAACTCCCACAATCCTTTTCCCTTTGGCTATGTTTGGGAAGGGTGATGGGAACTGTAAGCCCAACTCTCTTCAAGGCCAAGGACTCTGTAGTCCTGAAAGGGTTAAAAGGCTGCAGGGCAGCATACAGGGATACCTCAGTTAATATAGCAGAGATGTTAATATAGCAAAGAATGGGCATTATCATTCTTGAGCAGAGAAACTGAGTCCAGAAGCAGAACTAACATGAAGAAAACAGGGAGAGGTTTCTACACAACAAAAAGAAGCACAGTTCAACATGTTCCAGCAAACCTTTTATCCAAAATTAACACTATACACATGTGAAACAAAACAATCAGGTCAGGGAAGCTTTGTAGAAGTGAGCAAAAACATTCTGAATGTTCTACTAACCACTCAAAGCTCTTATTATTATTTTTTTTTCCTTTCTTGCACTAGCCTCCACCATTCTTATGATTTCCATTTTGGTGGCCAAACTTATGCTTTTATTTTTTAATATTCTGGGAATAGCTGATGGCATGGGCTCATCTGTTTTCTCCTTTTCTTTCTGTTTTGCTGTTTACACATGCTCAATAAGGGATTTTGGAGGCAGCAGATGTTTCCCTTGCCTGTTGTAAGCAGGCACACTCTGCTATACTATGTTTGGCTAGAATATGTAGAATCCCATTCATTCCGAGCTCAAGCTTTTCTGCATGATTTACTGCAGACACCTTGCTTCATTGCAATATTGCAAGTCTGTTTTAGTGGCCAAGCATAGAAGCCTCAGAGGATGGCAATGGCAAAAAACCCACTGAAGAAACTTGCCAAGAAAACTCAGTGATAGGTTTGCCTTAGGGATGCCATAAGTTGGAAATGACTTGAAGGCACACAACAATAGACATGCATGCTTTTTTAACATGTGGGGGGGAATTAATAATAATATAATAATAATAATAATTTATTTATATACCATTATATATATAATTAATGGTATGGGCTTATGCTATGAGTTTATCCATTTCCCCCCTTTCTTTTTTGCTGTATGCAAATACTCAGGGATTCTGAAGGCAGCTGCTGTTTACCTTGCCTGTAGTAAGCAGGCACACATTCATACAATAGGATTACCTATAGTAAAATCCCATTCTTTTTTAGCTCAACCATTTCTGTATTGTTTATTGCAGATACGCTGCTGCAATTCTACCCTCTTTTGTCATCCTCCCAATGCCAATGCTGCTTTCAAAAGTCCATTCAGACAGAGGATGAGGAGGAAAATGGGGCCACGGGGTGTAAAAAGACTTTGTAAAAAGGAGCTTTGTTATCAGAGGCTTTGTTCACTGAGGTTGGCCTGTGCAATAAAATCGATCCCAAACAATTTAAAATTTAAAACAGTAACATATCAGTTAAACAATAACAGATTGGTTAAATCTAAAAGCAAATTCAACAATGTAAGAAGTTTAAAGGATTGTTTGCTTTCTTTTGCTGCAAAACTATGCCTCTCGGTGAGCTTGATTTTAATGAAATCCCAGGTGAGAAAGGGGAGGTTATAAATATAATGAATAAATAAATTGACAAGTGGGGGAGAGCGTGATTCAATTTTCTAAATTTTTGGGAAAAGTTATGTGGCTGCCTCAGCTGTTGTTGACAACTGAATAACGGTTGCTTGTTTGTTTTAAGCTTCCGTATTCATTGGAAATGATCTCTTGTTTTACAGATGACAACATTCCCTGTTTCCTCCCCCTCCCCAAAATATAAGCATCTGTTCTTGGCTCAGCTAAGTAAAGCTGTGCTTAAATGTCAGCAGAGGCAATTCAAATCTCAGGTCAAGACCTCCTGAAAGATGAAAAATGTTCAGCACATCTGGTCCAAAACAATTTATGGTTTTTAGTTTGAAAATAAATCTAGCTGAAGCGCCCTTGTTGCCCAAGCGACTTGCCTTCTCCTTATGTGGTCTGTTCAGAACTAGAGGTCTTCATGAGAAGTTCATCTGATGATAATGATGATGATGATGATGATGATGATGATGATGATGTATTTATACCCCACTCTTCAGCCAAAAGGCTATCAGAGCGGCTTACAAATCTGAATAAGTAACACAAGAAAGGACCCCCAGATATAGTTCACTAAATGTGACAAGAGACACTGAAAGTCCAGGGCGAAGGGGAAAAAAATGCCACAATATCATCAGCACTGTATTCTTCTTTTTATAGCTAGGATGAAGTAGGATACAAATGATGGGAACGTTTCAGATATAACTTTAGCCGTTGCTTTAGCCATTGCCCTAGCTGATGGTTGTATCACAGATTGTTTTCTCTCTTCCATGCCAAAGCAGCGTTTTGTATCCCGGCAGGAACTATAAAGACCATAATCCTCACTCTGGATCAAGGAGGACCCCAATGGACTCCTGAGGAACCTACGCATGCTGGCAATGGTGAAACCAAGGAGGCGAGGTATGGCTTTTCCCTTTCTTCACAGGGCTTCTGCCCATAAATTGGGTGGGAAAGATTAATAATACATACCATATAATATATCGATGGCAGTTCTATGGGCGCGATATGGATCATATACATTAATATATAACCACCCCTACAAATAATTCACTGCTTTCCTTCCCATCTCTTTGGTGGTCACCGGACAATGTATTTACTTTATGGTAAGGATTATGGATGGCGTTATAAATTGCAGTGCCGCAACTCTGTTGTGTCCGCAACTTTCCCTCCCTCCTCTCTCGTAACGGTCCCCATTCGCTCGATTATTAATGGTTTCCCAAACAGTAGTGGCGCAAGGGCACAAACAATGCCGCATTAATATTTGATGCCACATCTATCGCCTCCCCATTCATCATTTATAACAGGCTGCAAAAACATGATAAAACATTTATTACGCATTTATAGATCATTTCACTACTAAAGCCAAGTTGTGTTATAAATGCATTATTAATCCTTTTGCGCCGTTTATAGGGATCTCTTGTAATAAGGGTTTAGCATATGTTGCTCTACAACCGGGATAATAAATAGGACGTCAAACGCTGATGGGAAATATATTACACCGGAGAAACTTTGCTTTTCTCCATCATTGGCTCAATGCAGTGGAAGGAGACAGGGCAGGATAGACATCTGTTTGTACTTAGGTTACACTAGGAATTAATTGCCGCGTTGGAGGCCGCTCCGAAGAGACAGAGTTG